AATAAATATAAAATTTTATTAATAAATTATTATATTTTTATTTTATTAGATAAAAAAAAACTAAATTTATTAAAGTTGAACAAAGAAAATAAGTTTTAGATTTAAACATTAGAATGAATAGAAAAGTAATTAAAAATTTTAAGAGATACCTTATTAATTAGTCCACAATTTCAGGCACAAAGGAAAACAAACAGAAAGACGTCCTTTCAAGTTCAAACCTCACAATAGGTAAAGGAGGAATTTGAGAAAGGAGAAACACAACTATCAATTGTTTTGCTTACAATTAGATGTAGTTGAAAAAGGATGGAACAGACGCCTCAGTCTGGAATTCCAGTGGGATTCATTGTTTCTACAGACTAATTGCATGGACACAAGTGGAATTGGGAAGGTTTTGGTAAAATCTCTATTGACAATTATCGCTCATAAACAGATAAATTCTATTTGTGGCACAAGTGGTGATGGTGGAAATCCTCACTGGTTTAACGTTCTTTAATTGAAACCATTGAAAAAAAACACTACACCATGAATAATAAGATGCTTTACCATATATGCAAGAATGGCCGGATAGAGCACCATTTTGTTCTTTTGTATACTCAAATGAACATACAATAAGAAATAAACTTTTTTTGTGACTTAGTCTACTACGATTGGAGAAGTTAGAGGAGGAAAGGAGGGTGAGGGGGGAGAGGCATCATTTTCTTATTTTCTTATTTGATTTAACAATTTTAATGGAGGGAGAGGAAGATAGAGGGAGATAAAACTCATATTATCTATTTTCAATTCTTTTGATGTAGAAGGATTGTATCAGTTTACTTCTTTTTTTAAAAAAATAAATATATATAACATTTTATTTCAACTATTTATTTAATTAAATAAAAATATTATTTTTTTCTCTCCTATACTTTCATCTATTCAGACAAAACTAACATCAACCTTTTTCTTTCCTTCACTTCTTCCTTCCCTTCCCCCTTCTCTTTTTTTTTTTTTTCTTTATTAATTTTTATCCAAACATACACTTATGGTTCATATAATTTATTAGAGCACCTTTTAGACATCAAATATTTCCAAAACCATGCCCATTAGTATAATAATTGGCGAGCATTTTGCAAGCCGCACAAGGGATAATGCATGACCCTTTTTTTTGAATAATTTCTCCTTTCCTCTTTCTTTTGTTTATTTTAATACTTATAAGAATAAATGAATAATTAAAATCTTCAACTCCTTCAGTTTGCCTCCTCAGAGGAAGAATATATGCGCCTACAGAATACAGAATACCGCAGCAAATTATTACCGTAGAGAAATTTGGCACACCATGCCTTGTTCTCGTTCATGCCTTGAAACCTTAAATAAAACCCCTTCAGCCATCTCCTAACTCTCAAACTGAAAGTGTTTCCTTCAGAAAGAAGAGAAAGGATGGGAGCTGCCATTTCCACTAATCCCATTGTAGAATGCCAGTCCAAGAGCCAGTGGGGAGCCCAGTTTGAGGCCTCCAAGCTTTCTAACAAACTGGTAAATATTGTCTTCTTAATAAAGTCATCCTGTTTGGTTTAACTGTTAGGGCATGGGGGGCCTAAAAAATAGTTCTGCGTTGGTTGAGGAAATTATTGACAATTTTGTTTCGGTGCTGAAGATGGTGATTGATTTCATGGCAACCTGGTGCGGACCATGCAAAGCGTATGGAACCCGTGATCGAAGACTGGGCTGCCAGGTACCTTGATGTTCAGTTCATCAAGTGATGTGGATAGGTTGGAGGTATATAGTTCCATCTGAGTTCTTAAGTGCTACATATGATTTTCGAACTTTCATGTTGTTTTGATGGGAAAAAAAAGATTAAATATATGCTGTGTGAATGAAACAGGACGTGGCTCGGGCATTTGGGGTTGAAGAGACGACCAGCT